GGTCAGGGAGGGCCTCACCAAGAAGTGATGTTTGAGACCAGGAAAGAGGAGGTGGCAGGAAGAGGGTTCAAGGCAGAGGGAAGAGTCTGGGCAAAGGCCATGAGGCTGGCCGGCCCGGGGCTGCTCACCTGTTTCATCATGGAGTGCAGGGCCACGGTGGGGAAGCCAAACCTGCGCAGCATCATGCACAGGATCTGGCAGGTCCTGGCAGGAAGAATGCGCCTGTCAGCCCCTCCAGCTCTGGGCTCCTGGGAGGGCGTTCCTGCCCTACCCACCCCCAAGATGCGAAATGGGGTGGCCCTGTGCAGCTCAGGAGAAGCAGAAGGGTGGGGTGTCAATGGTCCTGCCTTCCTGCCGTCCTCTGTGGTGACCCTCCCTGCCCAGGCTGAACCCACAAAACTCAGCACTGGGACTGCTGCTCTCACTTCTGAACAGGCGGAGTCCCGTTCTTTCTGCTGAGAGGCTGGAAACTGAGTTGTACCAGGAGGGGTGGGCCTCCCGAGGAGGAGCCAGTAAAGGAAAACAGAGTTGAGGGATAGGCAGAGAAAAATAACTGGTACTATCATGTAAGCTGCTGTATCCTGCTGTGTCTGACAGCCACCCTACATCCAACCTTTCCTCTTTTGGGAACAGATACATATGGACTGTCTTGATCTCTGCTCTTCTATCCTGGCTCATACTGGAACAACCTCCCGAAATAGCTCAAAGGAGAAAGCAATGTGAACTGCCTCAGGGGTCTCTGTGTTGGTGGTAATGCACGCTGGGCCTCAGTTATAGTCATGACTTTCTGTGAGATAGGACCGCAGACCTAGGAAAGCTTAGTGACACCCCCGGCCACAGTGATGAGGCTGCTAAGATAGCTGCTGCAGGGGTTTCCCAGACCTTCCATCAAGAGTGGATCTGAGTGGGCCGGCCCGTGGCTCACTCGGGAGAGTGCGGTGCTGATAACACCAAGGCCCCGGGTTCGGATCCCATATAGGGATGGCCGGTTTGCTCACTGGGTAAGCGTGGTGCTGACAACACCAAGTCAAGGGTTAAGATCCCCTTACCGGTCATCTTTTTAAAAAAAAAAAAAAAGAGTGGATCTGAGTGGGCCGGCCCGTGGCTCACTCGGGAGAGTGCGGGGCTGATAACACCAAGGCCCCGGGTTCGGATCCCATATAGGGATGGCCGGTTTGCTCACTGGGTAAGCGTGGTGCTGACAACACCAAGTCAAGGGTTAAGATCCCCTTACCGGTCATCTTTTTTAAAAAAAAAAAAAAAAAAAAAAAAAGAGTGGATCTGAGGAACTCTGAAGCCTGGTTCCACCTTTGGCTGGGGGAGCTTGGCTCCTTGAGGGAGGCCTCCAGAATCTGTGGTCTGAGCAGAGGCCAGGGAGTGCCTGGCTGTCTCTGTGGCCCAGGCCAGTGACACTGGACCACCTTCACGAAGGGCTGTCAGAGGAGATGTGGGCCCCGCCCACCCACGCTCACTTGCACGTGTTGGTGAAGATGATGATGGACCAGTCCTCGTGCTCGTCCTGGAAGTTCTGGATCAGGTGCACCAGGTAAGCATCCTTGACCTTCTCGGGCACTAGCAGATAGCGCTGGTCCAGCTGCTCCACGGTGCGCACCCTGGGGATGGACAGGCCACTGAGCCCCAGCATCCCATTTTGTGGAAATGTGGCTACTGCCCTGCCCCATATGGGTGTGACCCCACCCTTGCCTGCCCTGTCTATGGCTGTGGACTCACGGGGCTTGTGCCTCCCAGAAGAAGGGCTGGTTGGTGGCCAGGTCCTGCAGCTCCCTGAGTGTGTCAGTCAGCGTGGCACTGAAGAGCAGCGTCTGCCTGCGGGCTGGCACGGCCCCCAGGATGGTTTCCAGGTCCACAGTGAAGTCGGTGCAGCCCTGCTCCAGCAGCCGGTCAGCCTCGTCCATCACCTGCAGTGCCAGGGGGGATGGCAGCCAGGGTGAGGGTGCCAGCTATGGCCCTGGGCCAACACCCCCAGCATGCTGCATTCAGAGACTCAGATATGGGCCTTGGAGCACGCTCCCTCCAAGTGTAGGCAGCAACACTGCAACACCACCTTTGCTAGTACAGGCCCGCTCTTGTTGGTCTCTGAGCTGTCCTTGTCACTATTCCTAGCAGGACACGTTTCCCAAATACAATAGTTAGAGGCCCAGGCTCTGAAACTGTGCCCGGGGGCCCCGGCCCCAGCCCCCGAGGTTAGTGCAGGCAGAGCCAGGCCAACTCACCAGGAAGCAGATCTTCTTTATGCTGAAGGTATTGGAGCTGCGGAGGTGGTCAGCCAGGCGCCCTGGTGTGGCAATGACCACGTGCGGTTTCCGGGAGAGCTCCAGCGCCTGGGCCACCATGTCTGGAGGTGGAGGGCAAGAAGTGGGGCTGGGTGGGTGGTCTGATGCCGCAGGGTACCATGCCCAGTGCCCCCCACCCAGCCTCCCAGAGTCCATACCCATGCCACCGACGATGATGCAGTCTTTCAGGCCCAGAGGCTTCCCCAGGACCCGGAACTGCTCTGCAATCTGGTAAGCCAGCTCCCTGTGGGCATGAAGGGCTGGGCTGGGTCAGTCAGCGGTTCTGTGCCCACCTCCCCTGCCTATCTCCATCCCTGGGGCTCCTTCCTGCACCTCAGGCCTCCTGACTCACCCTCTCTTGTTCACGCACCCTCCACTGGCTGAACGAAGGCTGTGAGGCTGAGCCTTGGAGGCCTGTTGTGGCCCCTGCACCCTCACCAGTCTTGGCCCTGGAACATCCCATGGCCCCATCCAACCTACCTGACCCAAACTGACCTCAGCATCTTCCCCGACCCCAAACATGTGCCTTCTCCCATGACTTTTGCTCAGCAATGGCCTCAACATCATCCAGTTGCCCAAGCCAGAGACCCAACCATCAGCCTCCTCTCCTCTGGGGCTGGTCAGCTCCCTGCCCCAGTTCCACCTAGGCCTCTCCCTGTCCCACAGCCCTGCTTTTTGGCCTCCTGTCCTGCCCTCCTGCTTGCACACCCTCAGAATCAATTCTAAAACTCTGCCTGACATTTGAGGGCTTTCTCAAACTAGCTCTAACATGCCGGGCTCCTGTACCCTCTCTGCTCCCTGCCTTTCATTCCTTTGCACACCTGCATTAGCAGGTCCCTCTGTCTATGATACTTTTCTCCAAACTTGGACCCTTGAGAGGTCCTTTTCATCCTTTAATGTACCCCTTGAATGAAGCCTTCCTCAATCCCCCACTCCCCAAGCCACACCCTCATGGCATGCTGTGCCTACCTCTCCTACCGCTGTTATATGACATATCACGTCAACTGCTATACCTGTCTACCCAACGACAGAAGACCTGTCTATTTCTTGGGCTACACGACTGCTGGCAGCTCCCGTCTGGCCAGCACTTGCCCTGTGTCAAGCCCTACAGTGAGACCCTTTCTCACACATCTTGTTAAATTCTGCAGTAGCCCTAAGAGGTGGGCATAATTTTTGTCCCCATCTCACACATGGGGAAAGTGTGGCTTGGAGAGGTAAAAGGTGCTTGCCCAAGAGAATGCTGCCGGTTAACTAACACCAGGCGGCCTACGGGGAACTCACCTGGTGGGTGTCAGCACGAGGCAGAAGATGCCATAGGGATCCTCAGACAGCTTCTGCAAGATGGGCAGGACAAATGCCGCAGTCTTGCCGCTACCTGTCTTGGCACAGCCCAAGCAGTCCCGACCTGAGCAGAGAATAAAGCAGTATCAACACACTCTAGGTGTAGACAGCTATCCCGTCTGGCTTGGTTTACAACGGCTAACATTTAGTGAGCAGTTACTGGGTGCCTTTTCCATTCTGGGAACACTGACAACTTTATATTGTGGCAAATGACAAATTCTACAAAGTAAAGACTATTATTGTTTCCACTTAACAGAAAAGAAAATTGAGTTTCACAGACTTGCTCAGGACGCACAGCCAGTGAGCAGCAGAATGGACTAGAACCCATATCCATCTGGCCCAAGATGCCTGCTGCTACCACCACCTTCTTCTGACTCCCTCTTGGAGATAGGGGAACCAAGAATTCTCTTTCCTGATGCACCTCCCTGTTGACTCCTTCATTTCTGCTTGTTTAACCTCTCAGCTTGTCACCTCTCAGGCTTCCTGGGAGCATCTCTTTAATGGCAAAACTGGGTTGGGCCCGAAGAGCGAGGAGAAAAGCAGTCACAGGAGTACGGAGGCCTGGATTTACCAGCGATTTTGAAAGCCTGTTTTCGCTTGCAAAAGGAAAATAGGGCCAGCTCCGCCAAGTTATCGCAGTACTACCGTTTAGTCGTCTACCAAGCCCTCCCTGTGCTCTGCGGCTAAGTAAGTTCCAGAGCGTGCACCACTCGTGCGCGCACATGCAGCGAGTCAGGCATGCAGTCCTAAGGCCGACACCGCCAAGTCTGCCTCCGCAGCCCAGGCTGGCCCGTGACGCCCAGTCTGCCCCTCGCCCCGCGAGACCGGCCCGGGCAGAGGCCACGAGGAGGAAAGGGAAGCAAGAGGAGCGGGGACGCTTCCTGGGGAAGCTCCGGGCCGCACTCACCCTCCAGGATGGCAGGGATGCAGCCGAGCTGCACAGGCGTGGGCTGCTTCAAACCCAGTTGCCTACATTGCTCCACCAGCCACGACGACAGCCCGAGTTCCGCAAACCCGGCCATCCTCGCCGCCAGCCGTGGAGCCCGTGTGAGCAGCGCTTCCGGCGCGTGCCGATGCCGTCACGAAAACCCTTGCCGTTCATTGGGTCCGCCCCCTGCGTAATCCCATCCTCTCCAGCTCACTCTGTCAGTCCCAGCCTCGACCGCAGCCTTGTTACGTTTCCCCGAATCTCATTGGCTCGCAAAATTAGATCAAACTACAACTCCCGAGATACCCAGGATGCACCTGCTATTCCCGCCTTCTTTCGGCGTTTAAGGCCTCCCATTGGCTCATTTCTCTGCCTCCCGGAAAAGAGAACTACATTTCCTAGCGTGCCCTACAGGAGCCCCGCTTCCGGCCGACGTGTCTCTCCGGAAGAGGAGCGGGAGAGACCGCAGCGACATGGCGCCTCCGGCTACCGGCGGCTCCGGGGAGGTGGACGAGCTGTTCGACGTGAAGAACGCCTTCTACATCGGCAGCTACCAGCAGTGTATCAACGAGGCGCAGCGGGTGAAGGTGCGGCCGCGCGGGGAGGGGGACTCTTCCGGGTGGCCGCGGGCGCACTCTGCTTCTAGAACTTTCCCTGTGCTCCTCCCGGCGTTGTTTCTTCACACACCTCTTCAGAGCGCGGCGAGAAACAACTGTTTTCCCTTGACAGCCCAAAGCAGTGACAGTTTGTGTTGCCGCTCGCTGGTAGAGCCCGCGCTCGGAGGCGTCGAGGCCGCTGTGGCAACCTTGATTGTCATCTGTGCAGCCGCCCCCTCTGTTCCCTCCGTCCCCTTGAAGTGGGGACTGCTGTTTATCCTCACTTCACAGATGACAGCGCCAAACGGCTTCCCGACGTTACCCTGCCGAACTTGCTCATTCATTCATTCATCCACCCGTCCATTCATTCTTTCATTCCTTCATTCCTCACGAGCGTCTCTGTGGGCCAGGCGCTGTGTGTGTGCTGGGCTCAGAGAGTGACAGGTAGACGAAACTCCCTGCTACCCGGGAAACCTCGGCCTGACCTCGGAGACCCACAGTACACAAGTAAACAAGAGTCCAGAAAGTGATAAGAGGAGGCTGTACTGGAGAAGGAGTTTGGCTGTTGGAGGATTAGTAGTTAGTCCCGCATGGCAAGGCTCAGCCAGAGAAGAGAAGCCGGGGAGGTTTATTGCAGGACCTGGGATGTAGGAGGGGGAGGACAGCGAATGGGACAGGCAGGGCGACGGACAGTGCCTTGGGGGCCATGGCAGGGGTTTGGATGTTATTCCAATGGGGCAGGCAGCCACGGAGCACCAAGCTGAAGAGTGGTAGACATCTTCACGCCAGACAGTTGGGAGGAATTTGGATTCTGAGGTAGAGAAGGTTTGCTTTCCATGGTACTGGTTTTTGACGGTGTACCCGATTTCCCTGAGCAAGTAACTGGGATAACACCTCAAACAGGCATCAGGAAGGTGTTAGGATTTGTTGAAGCAATGTTTGCATGATTGTATTAGTGTCCCGTTGCTGCCATGACAAATTAAGACAACGCAAATTTATTATCTCACAATTTCTATAGGACAGAAGTGCAGCATGGCTCTCACCAGGCTAAAATCAAGATGCTGGCTAGGCTGTGTCCTTTCTGGAGATTCTGGGGAAGAATCTGCTTCCAAGCTCATTGAGGTTGCTGCCTTTCAGCTGGGGGCCATCCTTAGCTCCTAGAAGCTTCTAATTCTCAACCTCGCGCTTAGCCACTCCATCTCAGAACCAGCTACAGGGTGTTGATTCCTCTCATATGCAGAATCTCTCGAATTTCCCTTCTTGCTGCATTCACTCTGTCTGTTCTCTGCTATTAAGGGCGTTTGTGTTAGACGGGGCCACCCGGATAACCCAGCATAGTCTCCCCATCCTAGGTCCATCATCTTTATTTTTAGTCTTTGACAGCTGGCAGGTACAAGGATTGAATCCTGTACCTTGGTGTTATCAGCACCACGCTGTAAGCAAAGAACTAACTGGCTAGCCCCCTAGGACCTGTAATCTTCATCACATCTGTAAAGTCCCTTTTGTGATAAGCTGTCCATAGGTTTGCTGCGTTGACCTGACACCTGGGTGGTGCCTGCCATCTTATGGACACTTGATAAATGTCTGACAAATGGGAAAATGTCATGAAATTGTCACGACAGTGACCTAGAGCTACAGTCAACCAAGGGAAGTGACACATCAGATGTTTGACCTGAGGTGGCCCTGTCAGAGGTCGTTTCAGGCTCCAGAGACAACGGCATGGACATGGGGGGTGGGGGGGTGGGCATTTACTCAGCCCACCACCAGCACAGTTGTATGTGGCCCCTCGCTGGGGTACTGCAGACTGAGAATAGCCAGACAGGCCAGGGCTCAGACCCTGGCTGTGAGTCACTGCACCTCTCTGAGCCTCAGTTTCCCCATGACGCCTGTCTCATTAGGGTCATTATGAGATTCAGCATTATACTCAAATTACACCTTTCAGCTTCTGCTGTGAGTGTGTTCTGCTTACGTCATAGCAATGTGCTGTTCAGATTTTATGTCATAATGCCAAAATTGTGGCTGAAAGAGAAGTGGTGTTACGTGCTTTACACAGATAGGGACCAAAAATAAAGACATGGGTACCAGACCAGTGGTCACTCTGACTGAACCAGAGACCTGTGCCCACTTTGAGGACTTGGTAAAGATGCACTGGCACAAAAACCTGAGATGTTCTCCTTGACACATCCAGAAGAATGAGAGTCCTGTCCCTTCGGAGCCATTTGATGTGACTTAATTCTCATCTGTGGGCCACGTAAACCCTTTTGGACTGCCTGAACTGGGTTCGGTGGTGTCCTGCAAAAGATATGTCCACCTGCAACGTGTGAATGTGACTTATTTGGAAAAAGGTTCTTCGCAGGTATAATTAAGTGAAGGATCTCAAGATGAGATCATCCTAGATTTAGGATGGACACTAAATCCAATGCTAAGTTCTTTCTAAGAAAAAAGCAGAGGGAGATTTGAGATACAGACGGCGAGGGTGAAGGCAGAGATTGGAGTGATGCAGCCATAAGCCAAGGAACATCGGGAGCCGCCCGGAGCTGGACGAGGAAAGAAGGATCCTTCCCTAAAACCTTTGGAGGGAGAATGGCCCTGCAGACCCCTTCATTTCAGACTTCTGGCTTCCAGGACTGTGAGAGAGTAAATTCCTGTTAAGTCACCCAGTTTGTAGCAGTTCTTTACAGTGGCCCCAGCAACCTCAGACAGGCTCGCCTGAGGTGGCCCCAGGTAGAACACCTGGTGTGTGGTTGCCTTTATTGGTGATAGCGCAAGGACACCGGCATGACATTTCCTCATTTGTCAAGCGTTTATCAAGTGTCCACAAGGTGGCAGGTACCGCCCAGATATTGGGAGTCCAAGCAGCCAACAGAGCCTTGAGTTGCTGACAGTCCACTGTGGTCAGATGACTCAATGGCCACACGGACAGTAGGGGGAGGGGACACCACCCCTTGAGGTTTCCGGCCGCAGAGCCCCATCCCAGCATGGCTCCCCCAGACAGTACCCTGAGTCCTCAGCCCTGGCCATGCCTCTAAGCCACCTCGTGTTAGTGCTGAGGCCACCCCAGGGTCAGGGGTTGTTGGTGGGCATAGGCCTCCTGATTTTGCTGGTTTCTAAGCTCCCAGGTGATTCTTATGAGCTGCTGGGGTTGAGGACTACTGTGCTCACCTCGTGGGGTCTTGTTAAACAGGGATCTCTGGGGCCACCCCCAGAGGGTCTGAGTCAGCAGGTCAGGATGGGGCCCAAGACTTGGCCTCCTGAACATGCTCCTGGGTGGTGCCGCTGCTGGTGCAGGGATGATGCATGGGGCCCCCTGCACTCACCTAACAACCAGCCTCAGGTATTGGTCACCCCAATTACAGAGAGGAGAATGCAGCCTCAGGGAAGTCACGGGTGCTCAGCAAAGGTCTTCAGCCGTGACTCAGTCAAGCTCCCAGAGCAGATTTCACCAGCTCCTTCCAGAATATTTCCATCCAACAGGCCACCCCGCGACCCCCTCTGTGCCTCCTGTCCCTTGCTGGCAGGGAGGCCAGCAGGTCTGCAGTCTGTTTCAAGCAGGGCCTCTCCCAAGCCACATCCCAGAGGCAGTGTCAGGCCCAGTAGATGCCTACTGATGACCAGCCTGCTGGGTGTCAGACTGTGCAGGCCTCTGCGGTAAGATGGGCCCCGCCTCTGAGCCTCGAGTTGGTGGCCAGGTGTGTGCCCAGGCAAGTGGCCTCTCTCCCTGGGGGTGTGGGGGTGAGCAGTGCCGTGGGCCTGCCCCCGACCAAGCACAGGTCCTGGCTGTCTGTCTTCAGCCCACCAGTGGCAGGGTCACCCCAGGTGTGTGATGGCCAAGATGTGCTTGTTCAGAATGATACCACCCTGACTCCATGTGCCTAGCGCCTGCCGCACAGGTTCCGCCGAGGCCCCACAAGCCTCCTTCCTTTCCCAGCTCACACTGGAAAAGCTGGGTGGGTTGTGATCTCCCAGTTAAGGTACTGATGATTCTCTGGTCAGGAATGAAAACACCCGACACAGGCCAGAGGTGGTGGGTTGCGATCTCCCAGTTAAGGGACTGATGATTCTCTGGTCAGGAATGAAAACGCCCATCGCAGGCCAGAGGCCGCTCCATCCCCTCCAGGGCCCCAGTGGTCCAGACCTTGCTCTGCCATTGTGTGCAGATTGTCTGCAGAGTTTTTCATGTCTGTACCTGTCAGTCAGTACCTTTTTACTGCCTGCATCGTGTCCCCCATTGGGGACCTGCTGAGGTTTACTTAGCCTCTCCCTGTTGCTTCCAGCTTGCCACTGCTGTGTCTGCGCCAGTGTCAACACACGTGGCAGGCTGGCCTCTCCTGTCAAAGCTGCCTCCAGGAGACGCACAAGTCACTGCCAGTTATGGTGGGATAGTTCAGACATGAGCGTGGAAGGAAACCATGGAGGTGCCAGTGTCCGGTGTTGGGGCTGCTGGCCTGCATGCCCATCCTGTTGTCCCGCATCCCAGTGCCCCCCTCTCTCGGGCTGGCTGAGCAGCCACTGAGCACTTCCTCACTCGTGGTCTCATTGATGCCTGGTGGATCTGCGGGGCTGATGGCACTGTCCATGTTACAAAAGAGGCAGCTGAGGCTCAAGAGGATCCTCTGGGGACTGAGGCCACCCTGGTGAGGACTCATAGCATCCCCTGTGTCCTCGCCTTGAAGACACTGACAGCCGGCATTTGTCTTTTTTTTTTTAATTGAGGGTGGTGTGAGGACCCCTGGCTCGTCATCCTCATTGGTGTCCACCTCCAAGGGTCACTTGAGAGTCACTTATTTAGAAGACGCCATGTTCCAGATCATGACCGGATGCCCAGCCTGGTCACCGGAACAGGGGCCCCTCAGCAACAATGGCCTGAGTCGGGTGGGGACCAGGTCTCCCTTGGCACGTCCACCCCTCCCCAGGCTGGGGAGGAAGAGGAGGGCATGGTGGCTTGGAATCTGTGGTTCTGGGCCTGGAGGGATGGGGCAGTGCTGGTGTGCCAACTATAGGGAGCTGGATCTCTGTCCCTGTGCCTTGGCAGGTGACATTGCCCCACTATGTGCTTTCCCAGAACCCGTGGTTTGGATGCTGTCAGAGCGGTGACCCCAAGGTGGCCAGGCCCCCTTCCCACCTTTACTTTCCTTTTCCAGCCCCCACGGGCTGAGCTGTACTGTGCCTGCCTGTCTCCAGCACCACAGGGCCTCCCAGGAAGTCAGCCAGCACCCCATGGCATCATCCAGCGCTGTTCTCCTGGGGAAAGGTCCCCAGCCTCCCCACCTGGCCAGGGCTCGGAGACCTTCCTCATAGTCCCAAAGTGAATGTTTTAGGAGGCCACCTCATTCCTGATTTTTGACTCTGTGCAGTGGCTCTGACACTGCATCCCTGGGTACAGGGTGGTTGCCCAGGGTCCTGCCTGGCCCAGCCTGGATGCAGGCATCACTGCACTGGGGCAGCCAGGCCGAGTTTTACCAGAAAGGTCCTCTTGCCAGGGACAGGGCAGGTCATCTGAATGAGGCAAATCTTCCTTCATCTTTTCTGTTTGTCTGGTTTTTTTTTTTTTTTTTGGCAACTGGCTAGTACAGGAATCTGAACCCATGACCCTGGTGTCACCAGCACCATGCTCTCCCAAGTGAGTGAACTGGCCAGCACCATGTTTGTCATTTTTTAAAAATGTTTTGAAATAGGGGCCGGCCCGGTGGCGCACTGGATAAGTGCGCCGCTTGGGAAGCGCGGCGGCGCTCCTGCCCGAGGGTTCGGATCCCACATACAGACCGGTTCCCGCTCACTGTCTGAGCGAGGCGCGGGGGCGACCCCAAGGGTTGCGATCCCGTTGCCGGTCCCCGGTCCGGTACGGGGGCAACACTGAGGGTTGCGATCCATTGCCGGACACGGAAAAAGACAAAAAAAATAAATAAATAAAAATGTTTTGAAATAAAAGCCAAACAGAAGCAGCCCTGTGCATGGCAGTCAAAGGTGCGGGCTCCCTGCCATGTGCTGGAGTAGGCACTGCACTTTGGCCAAACAAGGTGACCATCGAGTCTCCTTCCTGGTGTGGTGTTGGGGCAGGATGAGATCAGGCGCTGTCCACCCAGTATGCCCTTGGCAGAGGCCACTCTTGTGCTACCCAAGGTCATGGGCTGCTCAGGTCCAGGGCTAGGACTCCAGCTAGAATTCAGACTGGAGAAGCTCTTGCTACAGCTTCCAAGGCCTGTCACATGGGCCATGTGGCTGCTGTGCCACAGCCTGTGCATCCTGACCCCTCCTCTGTTCTCACAGCTGTCAAGCCCAGAGAGAGAGGTGGAAAGGGACGTCTTCCTGTACAGAGCATACCTCGCACAGGTGAGTGTAGGCCCGTGATCGCAGGTGATACGAGCTGTGAGACAGGAGAGTGGAAGGTGCCACCAGGCGGGCAGTGGGGTTAGTAGACAGCAGAGGGATCCAGGCTGCAGGGCTGACCAACCACAAGCACCCAGCCTGGCCACCACGAGCTCCCCGTGTGGCCACCGCAAGTCACAAGGCCTCCAGGCCAGAGGACCTATGTCAGGATTTCTTGATTTAAAAAAAAATTAGTGGATTTTATTTTTTTCAGCACAGCTTTAGGTTTACAAAATACCTGAGCAGATGGCACACAGAGTTCTCCCCCCCGGCACACGTTTCTTTTTTCATGAACACTGTGTGTTGGTGATGTGCATTTGTCACCCCCCTTCCTGCCTAGCCCACCCCAGGGCTTGGCCTCGAGGGTCAAATCCAGGCCCAGAGAGTGTGTGTGGCCCAGGACCTCCTTGGGACCTCTCAGATGGTTTAAATGCATTGATGCGTATGTGTGCGTGTATATGTACATGTACTTTTTAAAAATTAACCACGTTATGTGGCAATAAAAACATGAAAACCTTGGAAGGAGTGGAGTGAGGAACGGGTTTCCTGGCTCCAGAAGTGACTGCCGGCATCAGTCACTGGTACTGGGGTGGTGCTGGTGAATGTTCTGCTTTATAGAAGCACATGCCCAGGCCCACCCAGCCTGTCACCTCACTACCAGGGGTGGACAGCTCGGGAGGGACAGTGACCTGCCAGGGTCCCCAGCTAGAACAATAGGCAGTGTGTCCTGACGGGTGAGGGCACACCTGGCTCTCTGTGACATGTGGCACCATGCTGGCTTCTTTGGGGCCCCTGGGCAGGGCAGGGGCTTCCTGTCTGGGGACTCTGCCGGGGTGACGCTGGCTGCCTGGCTGAGTGCAGGGTAAGCCCTCGGGGAGGGCGGGCGCAGCTGATGGGGTTTGTCCACTGCAGAGGAAGTACGGCGTGGTCCTGGATGAGATCAAGCCCTCCTCAGCCCCCGAGCTCCAGGCCGTGCGCACGTTTGCCGAGTACCTTGCCAACGAGAGCCGGAGGTGAGACCCAGCCCATGGGGTGGGCAGGTTGGGGCTGTGGGGTCTTTTCCGGGACCCATTTGTCCTGAACTTGGTTGGGCAGAGGGCATGGTGACAATCCTCAGTGTCCCACTTCCCTGTATCTCAGTTTCCTGCAACTGCGTGGCAGGGAGTGGCAATGGACCCTGATGCAGAGGGCTCTCAAAGCGAGGGCTGGAGCTGATGATGTGTGTGCAGATGCCATCAGGGTCACAAGGTGCTCTGACCTTACAACTGAACCTGTCAATCGCCGAATGACTGCGCAGTGCTTCGAGAGCCTCTGCTGTGACCACCCCTGGGGTGGCAGGGCTCTGCAGTCAGGGTTCTAACCAGCGCTGCTCACCCAAGTCCTGTCCCTGAGCTGCAGGCCAGCATTTGTCAACCACCAATGGGCAGTGGCCAGGGGCGGGTGGGAGGCTGGGCTGTGGGGACCCAGGAGCAGCGCCCACTCCTGCTGACAGTGCAGCCACCACACAGGGAGGGCAGGATGTGCTAGACTTACCTGTGCTTGTCGCTCAGTGTGCGTCCCCAGCCCCGCAGACCCCAGGCACTGAGGGCAGTGCCTGGGGAGTGGTATGGGGTGCTGCGTCACTGCCCCTACCCTTGGCCACATCTGGTCTTTGCCCAGGCACCTGACTTTCCCAACTGCAGGTCCTAAGTTTCGCATTTTATTTAAAAGAAGCTTTTGGTCTGGGCATCTGCTGTCGGTCTTGGTGCTGTCTGTCCCTGTCCCGAGGGCTGGGAGCTTCTGGGGAGGAGGCTCAGGTCCACACTCTGCACCAGCCAAAGCCTCGTTTATTCAGGGCGCCCCCCCGACACCCCTGGTGTCACCCTGGCCCCAGTATGAGTGGCAGCCACAGCCTGTGACCCAGGCAGGTGACCACAATTCAGAGTTCTCCTGTCAGGCCATCTGGCAAGTGGGCGGCCAGTGCCAAGAGCAGGGCCTGTGATGGGAAGTGCTGCTCGGCTCAGGGCCCCCGCCTGCCACGGGGGGTGGGCTGCTTGTGGGCCCCTGGGATCTCAGACATAAGATGTCCCCCAGAGGGCAACTAGGATAGGAGGAGAGGCAGACACTCTTCCCCGCCGGCCATGCCCCCCACCCCGTGTCCCAGCCCCAGGGACCCCCCCGCCCACCCCAGGCCATCCTCAGCATCCTGATGTCTCAGGGAGGGGCCTTTCCTGCTGGTCTCCACCCTGCACAGCTTTGTAGACCAGGACATGACTTATGTTCCCTTGTGGACCACTGCAGTAGTCTGAGGGTCACATCGTGGGTGACGCTCTCTGCTGCGGACCCACTCCTTCTTTGCCTCACGGAGGCAGTGCCCAGGCTCTGTCCCCTTCCCCCAGGCTCCAGGGAGTTTACTCATGTGCAGTGGTGGGGTGAATGGTGTCCCCAAAAAGATACATCCATGTTCTGGCCCAGATACTTGTGGACATGGCATTATGTGGAGAAAGGCTCTTTGCAGATCAGTTAAGGTAAGAGTCTCAGGGTGAGGGCGTCCTGGATTAGGGTGGGCCCTGAAGCCAACGACTAGCGTCCTTATAAACAAGAAGAAGACAGCCTGGAGACACACCGAGGGGAAGCCCATGTGGTGACAGAGGCAGAGACTGGACCTATGTGACCACAGGCCCAGGAACGCCAAGGACTGCAGGAGCCACTGGCAGCCAGGAGAAAGGCCTGGGGCAGACACTCCTCAGCCTCAGAGGAACCCAGCCCTGCCGACACCTTGGTTTAGGACTCTGGCCGCCAGGACCGTGAGGTGGAAGACGAAGTCCTGTTGTCTTCAGTTACCCAGGTTGTAGTACTTCGTGATGGCAGCTCTGGCAGTTTCAGACTGGTGTCCTCCCAAGGCCACCGTCTCTCCCCGTTGTGCTTCCCTAGCTGGGGTGCAGGTGGGGACCCCTGGCCCTCTGAGAGCGGTGGCTGCTGTGCACATTTCGGAAGACAACCCCCATGAAGCGGGCAGTGCGGTGGGCGCCTGGTATGGCAGAGCAGCTCCTGGTGCCTGTTTCACAGCCACTGTCCCACAGAGCTTCTGACGGTAATTAGGACACCTTACGATGACAGTGTTGCAGTACTAACAGCAGGCAGCATTTACACACCCGGTGTGCCAAGAGCCTCAGAAAGCTTCATGGGGTGGCCTCAGGAGCTCCTCATGCCAACCCTGTGTGACCCCCGTATGTGGTCCCTCCACGCAGAGGAGAAACAGGCTCAGACCTGAAGTCTCTCGAACCTCAGGGCCTGGCACTGCTGCTAGTCCTCAGGGAGCCGAGACAGTGGCAGACATGTCCCATCCTCGGGGGCCCTCAGACCAGGCAGGTACTAGGCAAGCAGCCCCCAGCCACCATGTTGACTCTTGCGCTGTCCCAGACTCACGTGGACCCAGAGGAACGACAGCTCTGGTCTGTGACTGTAGTCCTGGCCTTTGGCTGCCTTCTCAGTCAGCTGCTCAGCAACCCTTGGAAACGAGGGGTCTCAGCTCTGCTTTCCAGTTAGAAAGACAGGCTCAGGTGTCCCGTGGCCTATGGGGGTGCCCAGCTGGTCCCCAGCCACGCTGGGACTTGAGCCAGGCCTTGGATGCTGGGGCCCACATTAGCACCCGTGCTGAGGTTCTACTGGCCTCCCTGGCAGGTGGCTGATGTTGATGTGAGACTCACAATGCTCCCTCCTGTCCCCACAGGGGCACCCTGGCAGGTCAGCCAGTTCCCTCTGAGTCCAGGGTGGTGTGGACTCCACAGCCCCTGAATGCTGAGGGCCAGGGAACTCAAGACCCCGCGGTCATTGTGCTGTTTCCTAGGCAGAGCTGGCGTGGCCCCTCCCCCACCACATCCTCCCCAGGAGGCCTGGAGCACCCAGCCCCACTTCTCCCGGCCTCGGCTTCCCCATCTGTATAGGGGTGAAATGTGCTTTCTGGGAAGGTTATGAGGTGGGGAGTGTCAGGGCTGCTTGGCACTCTGCCTGCTGCTGCTCTGTGCCCGTAGGGGCCTGGCTCCCCCTCTCTGGGCCTGTCTGCCCCCAAGGAACGGGATCCTTCAAGGTCACGCAGAGGCTAGGCTTCCGCCTGCCCCTGGCTGTGGGCCCTGAGCAGCCGTGTCTTGCAGGGATGCAGTTGTGGCTGGACTGGACCGGGAGATGAGCAGGAGCGTGGATGTCACCAACACCACCTTCTTGCTCATGGCTTCCTCCGTCTACCTCCATGACCAGAACCCAGATGCAGCCCTGCGCACCCTGCACCAGGGGGACAGCCTGGAGTGGTGAGTGGCCCCTCCCGGCTCTAGGCTGCAGACAGCCTTGCTGGCCATCGTCGTGGAGACGATGAATGAGGCCCAGCCACTGGGCCCAGACCTCTTGTTCAAGCTCCAGCTCCTATTCTCGGTCCTGGAGACGCTCCCATCTGCACAGCCAGGCCACTGCGCCAAGGACACAGTGCCCAGGGCTGAAAACCCTCCGTTCCCAAGGGCAAAGCAGAAGGCACCTCTGTCTGCTTGCGGTTTCTGTGCCTTTACCCCCCACGTAGCCCTCTGCTCCTTCATCCCAGGCCCTGGCCCCCCAGCCAGCCTCCCTCAGGGCACCCAGGGTTGGGGTGTTGGGGCCCAGTGCAGCATGGTCAGCGCCACTGTCCACCCTAGGAGATGACTGTGTGCAGGACGCAGCCGTCCTCTCTGTGGGCGCTCTGTGGCGCCTGCCTTCCTTCGGTCAGCTATCAGTCCGTCATCATTGATGTTTATGTACATGTTCACGTCCCATGCTGTCCTGGAAGGTGTGTGCAGTGGTTTAGAGATAGGGATGGCATGTGGCAGATGCAACAGCTGACTGTTGCTGGTCTGGGCTGGGCACTGGCTCTTGTTCTGGTGGGAAAATGCAGGAACAGGCGGCCACATAAGCACTGGTGGTCCCGGGCGTCTGTGGTGGAGATGGGAGCAGGGCATGAGGGGGCCGGAAGAGGGCAGGGGTGAGGGTAGTGGTGTGTCCTTCCTCTCTGGGGCCTCATTCCTGAGTCCCCACTGCTGTAGGTGGTGTGGTCGAGTCCAGGGCAGGGGTCTCCACCTGCAGCTGTGGCCCACAGAGGTTCCTCCTTGGGGTGGGCAGCAAGCAGGGACCTGGAACCTTTGTCCTCAGGACCCCACAGAGCTCCTGGGCCGGAGGGAGCTCAGCTGTGATGTGTGGGAGTGAGGGGTCCCCTCTGCAAGGTGGGGCTGCTGGCCCCAGCTCTTGTAGCAGGACTAGGAATGTTCCAGAAGGTGGTGCCCACATGGAGTGAGCCCCTGGGGGTGGGCCACAGTGTGTCTGCAGCCACCTGCTGACTGCCTGCCACCCTGTCCCACAGCATGGCCATGACGGTGCAGATCCTGCTGAAGCTAGACCGCCTGGACCTTGCCCGGTGAGCCCCACCTCATCTGTGTCTTCCTGGGGCTGCCGCTCAGACCCGTGCATGGGGGGTGTTGGGACCCCATGCCCCCACCCCACAGGCCAGAGCCCCTGCTGCTGGGCCACTTCTGCAGTTGTTTCACACCATTCCATTGGGTGACCACCACCCTCACTCAACCCTTCCCTGCTGTCCATGCCTCAGTGTTCCACTGTGAGGCTGGCTGTAGGGCCTGCCCTGCAGGGTCAAGGTGGGCTTTCTGGAGGGAACAGAGGAGGCCGGCTGCAACCGTGTCCCTGAGGGGTGGTCTCAGAACAGAGCCGGGAGGTGGCGTCACTGAGTCGGGGGCTGTGTGTGCATGCTTGCAACCCCCCTTCCTGCAGTTTCCAAAGCCTTTGCCAGGGACCCTCACTCTGTGGCCCCTTAGCCCCGTCCCCAGTGAGAGTCTCCTGTGCACCCACCTCGTGCCAGGCGTTGGGGGGTGGGGTGGGCAGCAGCTGGGGCCAGCACGTGGCAGGACAGGCACTCAGGCATGAGAGATAAGTGTGCAGGGAGCAAGGGGGGCACTGGGCGGGCCCCCTCGGCCACTCAGCACCCACTCCCTTATCCCCAGGAAGGAACTGAAGAGAATGCAGGACCAGGACGAGGACGCCACCCTCACCCAGCTGGCCACTGCCTGGGTCAACCTGGCTGTGGTGAGCCCCGTGGCCGTGCAAGCTCCCTAGTACCCTCTACCTGTGCCCAGGTCTCTGGTCACTCCTGTAGGGCTCCAGGAACAGGCCCAGGACCCACCCCCGCCTGACACAACTCCTTCCCTCAGCCTTGTCCCTGTCCCGGGCTTCTTGCAGCCAAGCGACTTGGCCAGAGCCAGAGGGAATGGACTGGTGGGGGCTCCAGAACCAGAGGCGGCGTGGCTTTCCTGGGACAGGCAGGCTGGGCCGCCTGGCAACACTTCCTTCCCCAGGGCCACCCTGGGGTTTGTTTCGGCTCAGCTCTGCTCTCCAGGCACCTGGTACTGGGCCAGTGAGGGGCCAGTGTTCCCATAGCAGCCATGGAGGTGCCCTCAGCCCAGTTCCACCCCCCACCCCAGCCCTGGGCACCCCCTCCTGGCAACGGCCCCTTTTCTGGTCTTTGGGACTTGCTTCCTTTCTGAGTTGCACTTTTGTCCAGGCCTTTTAAACTGTGCTGCCTGTCTGTGCCCTTCAGGGGTCCAAAGCTTCACCCAGATGGATTTCTGGACCATCCTGTGTAGCAGGACAGACCCCGACAGATCTCTCCTATGGCTTTACATTTCTTCACAACACGTCTTCATCTCAGGTTCCCCCCGAAGTGTCCCCTGGTGTTCTTAGCAGGTGGGCAGGCTAGGGCTGCTGCTCACGTCACCCCTAACAGGCCTGTGACCTGGAAGTCCCGGCTCAGACCCCAGCCCGGCTGCCTGTGTGCTGAGCCTCCCTCTGGAAGCCTCAGTTTCTGCCTCTGTGCACCGAGTACTTGGGAGCTGGAGTGCAGTGGGGCATGAGGTGGCCATGTGCTGTTTTAGGCCTGGTCGGCACAGCACAGGCTGTGTGGGGGTCTGTGAAGAGTGGGTGGCCGTGCCATGGGCCAGACACCCCAGGACTGTCCACACCAAGTGCCAGAGTCCCCCCACTGCATGAGGGAGCGGGCAGCAGGATGGAGCAGCCCATGACAGCAGTGATGTCAGAACCATCCCCACAGGGTGGCGAAAAGCTGCAGGATGCCTACTACATCTTCCAAGAGCTGGCCGACAAGTGTTCATCCACCCTGCTGCTGCTCAATGGGCAGGCAGCCTGTCACATGGCCCAGGGCCGCTGGGAGGCTGCTGAGGGCGTGCTGCAAGAGGCGCTGGACAAGGTAGGCCTGGCCAGCCCTGCCCGGCCCCCTGGCCCTGAGGGGACAAGACAGAAGGGGCCCGGCAGTGATCCTGTGGGTGTGCTGTGTGGCCCCATGGGATTGCAATGCCCAGTCACCTGCCAAGACCTAAAAATCGGGATTGCAAATGAAAATCCGGATTTTGCCTTCTTGGGAAACGGCCTGGGCCTTGCCTGAGCTGAGCAGACGCATGCGCTCCAGCCTTCCCCACTTGTCACCTCAGCTGCCAGGCCCAGGGTCTCTGGGTGTGGTCCCTCACATGGGTCTGTACTCAGTGCTGCAGAGACCAAGTGCGAGTGGCTGTGCAGGGGGCCACCAGGCCTGTCCTTGGCGAGAACAGGGATTGAGTGCAGCCTGCACGGAGTGCCACAGTCCCCTTCTGAGAGATATCAGAGGCCTTTAGGATGAGTTTATGTTATTTTTATAATCAGAAACCATATCAAGGTTTTTTCTATTGGGGAAATGTTTTTAATCTAACAAGAAACACACACCAGTAGGAATCTTCTTCCTGGCTGGTTCTGTGGGGGGCGAGTTACCATCAGGAGGTTTTGGAACGGGACAGGTTGAGGGGTGTCAGTGGGGCCCTCTTTTGGGCCCAGTCCCCCTCGGCAGGGCCTGTCCTCAGATCTGTGCAGTCAGGAACCCTGCCTAACTGGGGTGGCATCTCACACAGGCTGTGTGTCCCTTCTTGTTCCCAAAGATGAGGCTCATTCGGGATCCCAGCCCCGCACCCAAGAGCACTCTGGTGCAGGATCAGCGTTCATGGCCGTGTCCCGCGGCTTTTGTTACACTGCGCAGGTGGCGTGTCACATGACTTGTTAGTTAACTGATTCCAGTCTGTCCTCGGCACCTGAAACACCACACCAGGCTGGCTTGCTGCGCCTGGCCCTGGCGGCCTTGGGGTCCCCACACCTGTGTTTGCCTGTGTTCTTGCTCGGCTTCTGGAGGTGCTCGTGTCCCTCCTCCCCATGCCCTTTGGAGCCACTTTACTGCTGCTGCTGTGCACATGCACCATTGTCCCCTGCTGCAGTCAGGGAGACTGAGGCACGGAGAAGCTGGGTTTCCACGTAGGTGCCCAGCAGCAAGAGGCAGCCATGAGCAGGGCCAGGGTCGGTGTGTGTCCTGGGTGGTGCGTTCCTGCTTTGCAGCCACTGGTGTTCCATGTGCCTTAGAGCCCAGTGTGGGCGGGCCTGGGCTGGTTGAGGTCACCCGCCCAAAGGTTTCTGGTAATTTCCTGCCAAGGCCCCTCTGGAGCAGACAGAGTGGCGGGTCCATGCCCAGCCTCAGACTCATCCTGCAGCAGAGGCTGAGACCATCTTGGCCTGTGCTCCGTTACTCTTGAGATTTGTGCAATAAATACGCCCCTCCCAAATCCCCACCAGCAAGGTCCCAGGTTGGTCTGTGGATTAGGAGAGAGGCTCAGAGGGGAAGTGGCTGGTGTGGGGAGGTGCAGAGGCTTGGGGCTGCTGGTCCCTTGCCACTGCATCACCTTGAGGTCACCAGCTTGCAGAGACTGGGGATGGGGGGATCTGGGACCGGCAGCCCCAGCCCCACCCAACCTCTGAGGGGCAGCAGGGAGGGGGCATTGTCCTGCCCAGGATGGGGGTGAGCAGGCAGGCTTGCAGGGCCTGGAGGAACTGACTCTGCCCGCCCCGCCTCTGCCTGCATTTCCAGGACAGCGGCCACCCAGAGACGCTGATCAATCTCATTGTCCTGTCCCAGCACCTGGGCAAGCCCCCCGAGGTAGGTCCCCTAGCCCAGCCCCCACGATGGCACCCTGGAGCTGGGCCCTCAGCATCTGCACTTCAGGGTTGGCCTTGGTTGGGACAGAAACCCACTCCTCCTGAGGGCACAGTCGCCATTGGCTTGATGGGCCCCCGCAGTCAACTGTGCAGGCAGCCCCTGTTATCCTCAGAGTCCAACAGACAAGTGGACCCAGAGGGAGCCTGAGCCATGGCTGGCTGGGCTGGGACCCTGGCCTAGCCCACCTCATCTGAGGGCGGGGAAGGGGGAGCTGGGCCCTGCTGGGGCAGGTGGCCATGACCTAGCTGGCCCAGGGCTGCATGGTGGTCGTTCTTGTGTCCATGTAGGGAGGGCCCAGGAAGGTGCAGGACAGGGTTGGTGCAGGGGAGACAGCACACTGCCTGGGCTGGAGGCCAGGTTCTAATCACCAGGCCTGTGGGACATGTCCATACAGTGTGCCCACAACACACCCACCTCCTACAGTAAAACTGCCTCCCTCACCAACCCCAGCCCCCCAAACCTGTCCCACCCCTCCTGTCCATGGCCTGGCCATCCTCCCCCTGGGGCCCAGGCCCTGCCTGCCCCACTCCACTGAACCCCGTGGTGTGTCAGCCAACCATGGGTCAAGCACCAGCTCTGTGGTAGGTGCTGTTCCTGGTGGTGTCCCCCACCAGCACCCTGAGGCTCGTCCATGATCAGCCTGATTTCAGGGTGTGGTGAGCAGCCCCCCGGCTGAGGCGGAGAATGCACGGAGGGAGGTCAGGGCAGAGCACCGTGGGGTCCCTATATTCAGCTAATCCAGCCTCATCTCCCTCACAGGTGACAAACCGCTACCTGTCACAGCTTAAGGACGCTCACAAGTCCCACCCCTTCATCAAGGAGTACCAGGCCAAGGTGATTCTGTGCAGGTGGCCCGTCCCCGAGCCCCACATCCCCCAACCCCTGTACCAGGCAAGGCCTGGAACTCAGGTGGTACTCACGTTTCTCTCTCTGTCCCCCCCCACTTTGTTGAAGGAGAATGACTTTGACCGGCTGGTGCTGCAGTATGCTCCCAGTGCCTGAGGCAGGATGGCAAGGCTAGCCTGGCACCCTCCCCACTCCTCCCTTCAGGCTGGAAGCCTGGTCCTAGCACCCCCCATCTGCCAATAAATGTCTCAGCTCCAGGCTATTTCTACCTGACCTTGTGCTCTGGCCACTTTGGTGGGGGCCTGTGGGAACCAAGTCTGGGAGGGGAGGGTTTTGGGACATCGTCACCTAGGGCTGTTCCTGGAGGCCAGGGTCTAAAGAGAGAGCAGCAGCCACACAGAGCCCCCCACCCACCGCTCACATGGCCACAGCCCTCGTTAGCATCCAAGGAAACTGAGGCACAGAGGGGTTACGCAGCCATTACATCACGATGGGCTCTGAGATTAAAACCCAGGGCCCCCAAATGGTCTGGAGGTGGTCGGTGGGGGTGGGGAGGCAGGAAGTGTTCAGGCCTGGGCTCTGCAGAGCAGAGGGGCAAGCAGGGTATTTGTGCAGTAATCATTAGCCCCCCAGGCCCTTGCTTCTGGCTGCTGCGCTATGAATTACATGCTGTGGCCAAGACACTGAGTTCCCTGCCCTCCCAGAGATAACCCCATAGTGAGCAAGCAGCCTGCGATCAGAGGAGGCAGGACAACAGCAGGAGGTGGGCGGGTGTGGGGGGTGGAGGAAGGAATGGCTGGGGCCACCACTGGGCTGCATCCACCCAACAACAAGGCGCTGCCAGGCCAGATTCTGGGGTACAAGCATCCCAGGCAGCAGGCACAGGCAGTGCAGAGGCCCTGAGGCCACAGGGGGCTATGAGGTCCCAGGGAGCTGGACTGCGCCATGTACCCTTTATCTGCTGGCCTGTGCCTGGACTTGTCCTCGGTTTTTCTCTCAGGGAGGAGATCAGACACCTGGTTTCCCATCATCCTGCCAGGGCCTGGTCTCACTTGCCTTGGGGCAGGTGCCTGAAATCGAACACCTGGCCCTGGTGCCAGGACAGCAAGCTATCTCCACCCCTTGCTCCCAGCTCCTCCCTGCCCACTGGGCAGGGGTATCAGGATTGGCGGCTACCCAGGGTTGGTCTTGGCTGATCTCTCGGGTGGGGAAGGCACCAGTCTCTGGACTGACCCGCAGCAACCCCTACCAGGCCTCGGTGCCTGGGAGCCCTGGCCCCCAGCTGCCAGCACAGGGGCCACTTCCCATTCCTGCCCCACACCTACCTGTTGGCTGCCTGCCAACTGGATCCACCAAGAAGAAATTCAAGACTGAGCTGAGGCCAGTGGGTGGGCGGGCAGCGCCTCTCCCATCACCAATGGGCACCATAGTAACCAGATAGTGGTGGGTGGGAGGTGGAGGGAGGTGATTGAAGGTCCTGCCTGCCCGACGGGAGCATGTGCAGCTGGCCTGGGCCCCTCTCCACCTGCCAGGTGGGCTGGGGCATCAGCTGCATCTCCCCGCCTCCAGGCCTGTCACACCCCGGCCCAGCTCGGGACAGATAAGCCCCTGCCTGTGCAGAGTGCACATTCAAGTATAACGAGTAGGGCAACAGCGCCAAGGAGCAGACTGATGAGGGTGTGGGATTCAGATGGCCAGGGAGGCATGCTGAGTAGGTGACATCTGTGTGAAGCCTGAAGGAGGTGGAGGAGAGCCCTCCAAGTAGCTAGGGTAACAGTATTGCAGGGAGAGGGGACAGCCAGTGCCCTGAGGCATGACTGCTGGGCACGGGCGGAAGCTGTGGAGGGCTGTGAGCGGAGGAGGAGGAGGAGTGGCTCCACTTAGTGGTAGCGGCTGCCTCTGGCCTCTGTGTGGGGTGTGGGAAGCCAGGTTACCGGACAGGAGGCTCCAGGGCAGCTCGATGCCATGCAGGTGGTGAGAAGTGGCTGGACTGGGGGACGTCCCCAGGTGGGGTCAACTAGATGTGGGATGAGGGGCCAGGGGATAGGGGAAGCCCTCCATGCCTGCCGCCTTCTCACCTGTGCACCTGAAGGTCAGGTTGGGCTGGGGGGTGTATGGGACTTAGCTCAGTTCCTGCAGGGCTCATCCTTGCATCCTGCACCTTGGAGGCCAGATGAGGGAAGTCCTGGGGGCTGAGATGAGGCAGTGTCCGCAGCAAAGGTGACCAGTACCCTCACTGATGGTTGTTGGGTTTGAGCTCAGGATCTGGTCAGTGGACAATAGACGGAAAAAATCCTGGTCTTGATCCAGCCTCCCTCAGGCCCCCACCATGGCACCCATTCTGTCCACCTCCTTGTAGGGCCTGTGTTAATCTGATGCTGGGGAGGCTTTCCTGGTGACCCTCACAGGGTGCCCAGCCCTTCCTCTCCTCCAGGGAGCCCCCTAAAGTCAGTGGCCCCACCTCTGAGTCCCAGCAGCCTGCTGCAGGCTCAGAGGAGCAAGCCCGGGAGATGTCGCGAGTCCTCAATCCAGCTGCAGGTGCACTGCCCAGCGCTGGGCAGGGTGGGACAGAGTGTCTGCAGGTACGTTTGCCCCACACCCTCGTGTGCGCCGTGCCCTTTTAGAGAATGACAGCCTTCATTTACACGACGCCTACTGAATGCAAGAACGCCACGCGGATGGTCCCAACTGTGCCAAAGTGTGCCAGGCCACAGATCCATGAGAGGCGAGGGCTCCCGGGAACGGCGAAGGGCGGAGGGGGGTAAACGGGGCGGAAAAGGAACGCCGGAGGGCCGGGAGGGGAGGGGGTCGCGGCCGAGGGTACTGCCGGCTAGTGCCCGCCGTGCCGCACGCCCTGGACACGGCCGACGTGGTGGGGGGGAGCCTGGTGCGGCACGGGCACGCGGGGCGGGGACAGGCGTAGCGACAATCTGGAAGAGAAGTAGGTCCTAATGCCCTAAACATCCATTTTATGTAATAAACTAGCTTCACTTAAGTGCATCTAGAATGGTACTTGTCATATACCATTCTTGAGAGAATTGGGAAAATGGTCTCTAAGTCATTTTCCATCTTCTGCACTCAGGTGGAAAGTTGTATCAATTAGGATTGGATGAAGATTTAAGCAACCAAAAGTCTGTACAGTGACTTATACAAATAGGGGTTATTGATCTCAGACAGCCAGAAGTGAGGGGTTGGTAGTCCAGGACTCCAGGGAACTTTCTATACTTGCCCTTCAGTTATTCTCAGCACATAGAGGTTGGTCCTCGGGGATGCTGGCTGGACGGCTCTGCGCTCGGCGGCCACCGCGCGCCTCTTTCAGGTCAGTGCGGCGGGGCCGGGCGGGGCCGCACTGGGGGCGGCGGGCACGGGGAGTTCCCGGAACCGGAGGGGTCCTGGGCCGCCGCGCGACTCTGTCAGCCAGTGCGGGGCCGGGGGCGGGGCTGCATGCGGGCTGTGGCCTGGCTGGCATGGGCCCCCATGCGGGTGGCGTGTTCTGGATGTGGGGGAGCCGAGGAACGGCGGAGGGGGGCTCGGGCGGCCGAGAGCTCTTTCCGGCAGGGCCGAGCCGAGAACGGACTAGGAGGGCTCCGCACACAAGACCGCCTGCGCTGTGCGCCTCCAGGACCGGAGCGGGGTGCGTGCGGCGGCGGCGGGGCCGGTTTGCTCGCTGCCATCGGGAAGAGGCAGATGCTGCCCGGTCGCTGCCTTGCTCCTGTCTTGGGTCAGCGCCACCCTCCGACCAGGGATGGCAATGGCCTGGGCGCCCTGGCCATGCAGGTGGTCGCTCTCTTGGAAGTGACATGGCCCGGGTCTTTGGGGCTGATCTGTGCTGCCTCCACGGGGCGACGGCCGACTTGTCCAGTGTCTGGGGAGGCCACCGCATGGGTTGGAGAGTAAATGCAGTGGTGACATTGGCACCTGACCCCACTGCCTTCCCGGGGGAGGAGTCGCTGTTGGGAGGGGTCGCTGTTGGGAGAGCTGGTAGGAAGGCGTTCAGGCCCCTAGCTTGGCTGCAACTCCCCCGTGCACCGAGTGTACAACCCCGCCCCAGGCTGGCTGGAGGTGGTAGAGGGTGCTGGGACAGAGTGCCCAAGGCCAACAAAGGGCCCTTTCTCTGCTGGCCGGGAAGAGACTGGCCCTTGTTAGGTGGAGGATGGGGTGTTGTCTGGCTGCTACTGTCCCCACCCCCGTCTCCATATCACCCGCATGGAGGAGAGACCCGGCCCCACTCTGCTCCACAGAGAGAAAGGCGTGACAAGGCCCCCTCCATCGGTCAACCCTGGTCCCCATCTGGCTTCGTTGCACCTTTCCAGTTTCTGGCTGAGGAGCTGGAGGCCCAGCAGGGCGAGGGCGCTGGGGCCGGGGTGGGGGATGTGGCTTCTCTCGAACTACCAGGGCCTAGCAGCGCCTTCCCCACGTTCCGGAAGGAGTCGGGTGAGGGACAACCAGGCCATGCGCCCCCTCGCTTTTGGAGTCCTCGGAGCTCGAGCTCTTGCCCCAGGCCCTCCCCAGCCTGGGCGGGGTGCTCGCCCCAATTCGAGGCTCACCCTTACCAAGAAATGGGCGGAGGGGCTGCCCCGTTCTCCAAAGCTCATCTTCTTGGAAGCAGCCTGGCTGCCAGGGGTTACCGGAGCAGGCTCTGGATGTCTCTATGACAACCGCTCCCGGCTCCGGCCCGGAGGCCCCCTCAGCCTTGGGGTAAAGGGGCGGGGCTTAGCCCAGCGACCGGGAGCCCCACCCCCAAGAAGCCTGCCACCGTCTCCCAGCCCCAACCCTTCAAATCCCTCCTCGTCACACCCCCAGCTTCCCTGTGACTTCTGGGCCCCCCGACCCCCCTGGGATGACCCCATTGGTCTGCCTTGCTTTAAGCCCGAGCGCCCCCTTCTGACCCTTCTTCTCCCCCTCACGGTCCCGCCCTCACTCCACTCCCCAGCACCTTCGCGACAGACAGCTGGGTGCTAAGTTTAGCCTTTGGCAGGCATGTGTGGGCTCTGGTTACGCTCCAGGAGGTTGCCGGCCTGGGAGCTCGGCTTTCCCCTGCAGCGCCTGGCATGGGGAGTTCCTGAGCCTCGGTTTCCCCACTGTGGCCCCTAGCGCTGATAGCTGCCCGCCTTCTCACCCAAAGCCCCTGGCCAAACGGTGCCGCCTCCAGCCTAGAGATGCGGCCAAGATGCCTGAGAGCGCCTGGAAGTTTCTCTTCTACCTGGGCTCCTGGAGCTACAGTGCCTACCTGCTCTTCGGCACTAACTACCCCTTCTTTCATGACCCACCGTCTGTCTTCTATGGTAAGAACCCTGCGGGGATGGGAGGGAAGGGCTCTGCTTAAGATGCAAAGACAGGTGCACAGGGAAGCCGGACACTTGTCAGAGATCTGGTGGATGTCTTGGGTGTCAAGCCCGCTCCAAGACAAGGGTGATCATGGAGCCCTGGGGCAGTAAAGGGGGCATCTGGCCCTGTTAGGGCTCAGGGGAGGCATCCTGGAGGAGGTGACCCACGTGTGGGCCCAGGCAGCCTTCCAGGTGTCGAGAATAGCATGATGTGCAAAGGCCCTGGGGCACTCACAAGGTTGTTGCATGAGGAGGAGAGGAGAGCGGCTGCTGAGAGCTGATGCATGCATGGGTTTGAGTTTCATTCTAAATGAGATCGGTTTAATCAAGGGATAGACAAGATCAAATTTTGTGGATTAGAAAACACTTTCTCTGGTGCTGTGTAGAGACAGAAGAGTCCCCTATGGCTTGGACCTTCTTGACGAGGATGTAAAAATGGTGAGAAGTGGCTGCATCTAATTGGTTGGATTTGATGTGGGCATCATAAGGCCTGAACTCTGGGTGGTATGGGCAGGAAGGTGACTGCAGCGTGCTCTATGTGACCTATCCCAACTGAGGAGACAGGCTGGGGGCTGGCGTCGGTGATGGGCAGGTCGGTATAGAAAACCCCATCATCGGCGGGAAGCTCGGGCTTCTCTATCCTGTGCTGACCACCTGGGCCATGTGTCAGGGATGCACATGAATGTTATTTCCTGCTATGTGATGGGAACAGCCTGAGAAAGCTCCTGGTGGCACCGAGCCTGCAGCACATGGATGTGCCACACACATGGCCACTTTGCTGTTTTCTGAATCCCTGGAGGAAAAGTGTGGGCTGCTGTTTGGTTTTCTTGCATGCAGGTGAACCTCAGTTGAACTAGCTTCAAGTTTGGGGCATACAGTGGCCTCTGGTGGTTTCTTCTTCTTATCAACTATGCTTGTACATTAGCTGCTTCTTTCAGTGTCCATTTATGGAGCACCAACTGTGTACCAGCTGCTGTGCTGGACCCAGGTGAGGCTGACCATGGGTTAGGGGGGCAACAGATGGCAAAGTGGCAGTCTGTTAACAGCCACAAGTGCTGACGCCACAACCTAGGTGGGGAGGGGGCAGTTTTCAACATGGACAGGAAGGGCCCCACCCACTGAAGGTGATGTTGGGTGAGGACCTAGGGAGTCTGGGGCAGGCAGGTCCTATGGCCAGGTAAGGGCAGCGAGGGCCATGGCTTTCAGGCCTTGGAGGCCACCATGAGGGATTGGTACTTACCTGAGGACTGGGAGCAGAGGAGGGATGTGGCAGGACCCCTGGCCGGCTTGGCCATCTGCCCTGGGGGCCAAAGAGGGGGCTGAGGGCAGGGGCTGGGGCTCAAGGGGCCTCCCAACATGGGGAGGGAAGAGAAATGGCTGATAGAGAAACATGGAGAAGGTAGAGCTGACAGGATTTGCTGCCAAACTAATGGTGGGTGGAAGAGAGCAGGAGCATGGGGACAACACCAGGGTCCAGGGTCCCTACATGAGATGGGGACTGGAAGGGAAGGGTTTGTGAGAGACCAGGAGCTGGACTGGGGGCACCCAGGGAGCTGACACCTGAGTCTGGAGGTTGGGAGGGGGTCAAGGCTGGGATGGCATCCATCACCCAGAGCGACAGGTGGCTCAGGGGTCCAGAGAGGAGGGAGAAGAGATTAGAGGCACCTGGACCGAGCCCAGACCCCCTCCATCGTGTGAGGAGGTGCAGGAGCAGGGAGGCCCCAGCTAGAAAGATATGGGAGGGTGGGGCAAGCGGTCAAGGACATCTTGTGACTCTGGTGGTTGTGGGTAAAAGCTGCGGGTTGGAGATTTCTGGAGAGTTAGGTTGGAGAGGCGAAGGGAACTGGGGTGCCAGCTGCCCCTCTGAGTTTCAGACAATTTTGGTTGAAACAGGGAGGTGGTCTGAGGTGGGTGTGAGATCCAGGCAGGGCTTTCTAGGCTGGAGAAAATCAACTCCAATCCGAGGGCCGATCACACAGGGATGGCCGGACAGTGGTCTAGGTAAGAGATGAGTTGTGATTGGGGGAGGTGACTCTGATCCTGGATGCCCCAACACTGAACACTAGTGTTGACGGTCATGCTCAGAAGTGGCCCAGTCTAGACGGTAAATTTCAAGCCCCTGCCACCACCCCAGATTTGGGGCTCAAGGCTGGAGGAGGAATCTCCTCTGCAGTAACAGGACACAGAGCTAGTTGGGGAGACTGGAGCTCCAGGGACTCTGAGCATGTGGTCCCTTGGGGATGGCGGTGGACAGTCCCTAATGGTTTTCAGCAGGGAAGGCTGTCCTCGGTCCCCACCTGGGCTTCTTCCTTCCTCTCTGGAGTTCCCACCACCTCTGGATAGGGGGTCTTCAGGACACAGCCCTCCCCAGGGGCCTCGTGGTGCCCTGGAGCTGGGTCTCCCTGCAGAGGGGGCTCAGGCATGTTTTCGGGATGGACCAGTGGGAGCCAGAGGTGCAGGGTCCAGGACCCACAGGTGCCTGTGGGCACAGCTCTGGCATCGGTCTCCAAGCTGAAGGCTGAAGAGGGATGAAGCCACCCGGCCTGTGTGGTGGGGGAATGGAGGGCTGAGCGCCTGGGATGGAGCACAGGTCCAGGGCCCAGCCAGAGTGCGAGTTTTGTTGCCAGGCCTTGAAGAGCCCCTGGACGGTATAGGGGGGTGTGGAGTGAGGGAAATAAGATCTGATTGGTGGGATGTTTTGCATTTGGTTTACTGAGGCCAAGTTTACGTAACATAGAATTAAGCATTTTAGCCAGTCACAGAAAGACGAATAATGTAGGATATATCACTCATAGGATGTCTCTAGAGGAGTCACATTCACAGAGACAGAAAGTAGAGTGGCGGGTGCCAGGGGCTGGGGGGGGGGAAGTCAGTGTTGAATGCGGACAGGATTTCAGTTTTGCAAGACGGATGCACAACAGCATGAACGTACTGATCTGTACACTCACAATTGGCTAAGATGGTCAATTTTACACTATATACGAGGGCACTTCAAAATGTTTGAGGACAGATAGAATTGAAAGAACACGAATCTTTCCAGGAACTTTTTTTTTTTTAATAAAAGATGACCGGTAAGGGGATCTTAACCCTTGACTTGGTGTTGTCAGTACCACGCTCAGCCAGTGAGCCAACCGGCCACCCCTATATGGGATCCAAACCCGGGGCCTTGGTGTTATCAGCACCGCACTCTCCTGAGTGATCCATGGGTCGGCCCTCCATGAACTTTTTGAAATACTCTCGTATATCTCACCACAATTTTAAATATTAACCATTTTGGTCTGGCCGGTTGGCTCAGATGGTTGGAGTGTGGTGTTATAACAGCAAGGTCAAGGGTTCGGATCCCCTTACAGGCCAGCTGCCAAAAACAGAACAAAACTGTACATTAGGCTGGCTGGTTAGCTCAGTTGGTTAGAGTACAGCCTTATAACACCAAGGCCATGGGTTCAGATCCCTGTACTAGCCAGCTGCAAAGAAAAATAAATAAATAAATAACCATTTTGGGCTGGCCAGTTAGCTCACTTGATTAGAGCGTAGTGCTGATAACACCAAGGTCAAGGGTTCAGATCCTGTACCAGCCACCAAAAAAATTAAAAATAAGTAAATAAAGTGTACAGTTCAGTACATTCACAGTGTTGTGCAACCACCACCTCCATCAAGTTCCAGAACATTCTCGTCACTCCAAAAGGAGACTCCGTCCCCATGAGCAGTCATTCCCCATTCCCCTCCCCCAGCCCCCGGCAACCACTAATCTGCTGTCTGTCCCTATGAATGTGCCTGTTCTGGACATTTCATATCAATGGAATCATACACCGTGTGGCCTTTTGTGTCTGGCTTCTCTCATGCAGAACCATGTTTTTGAGGTTCATCCACGTTGTGGCGTGTGTCAGCACTTCATTCCTGTTCATGGCTGCGTAATATTCCATTGTGGGTCCCTATCTATCCATTTGTCCATTGCCAGCCCAGTAGTGCTGCTGTGGACACGTGTGTACAAGTATCTCTTTGATTCTCTATTTTCATGTCTCTTGGGCACATACCTAGGAGTGGACTTGCTGGGTCCCCCGTTATGGTTCATGTGTTCACAGCCATCGAAGCTGCCATGCGCAGAGTAACAGACAGGCACGGGAAGCCAGGGAGTGCTGGGGCAGTGCTGGGCAGGAGACAGGACCAGAGTGGGAGTGGCAGGGGCAGGAGTAGTGAGGCAGAGTTGTAGACAGGATGGTAGATGAAGGGCTGTCACTGAGGTGGGGGCAGCTGGGCTCCGGGGGCACATGAGGATGTGGCTGGGATGGGGAGCAAAGACCCCAGATGGAGCCTGGGGGCTGTTTAGGGGGTGGGCAGAGGAAGAGTGACTGGAGAGCCGGGGACAAATCAGAGGGTGCCAGATTGATGTGGGGAGAACTTTGAGTGACCCTTGGCCTTGGCGTCTGGTGGCCCCTGGGACTGTGGCTGAAGATAGGAGGAGGAGGAAGTGGTGGGGAGCGCTGGGGGGGTCAGAGTTGCTGGATGCAGTGGGGAGATGCGCCAGGAGGAAGGGGGAGGCTGGGGGAGGGGCAGATGAGTCAGACCCTGCTTGGTGGAAGGTGAAGACCCCACGCTAGGTGGGCCGGGGATGGCAGGCAGCTGGCAGCCTCTATCAGGGTGGGGATTTGGGCTTGTGTGGCGGGGGAAGATGCCGGCAAGAGCTGGCTGGAGAGCCTGGTAAAAGGAAGGGGACCCGGGGCAGGATTTGGGACAGAGATGGAAATCCTGCCAGTGAGAGATCTCAGGGCATTCTTGAATAACGATATATCTGTGTGGGCACATCATTTGCAACAAATGTACCACCTGAATGCAAGATGTTACTGACAGGGGATCTGTGTGTGTGTTGGGGGAGGGGGTTATATAAGGACTCTGTCCTATCTGCCGGATTTTTCTAGAAACCTAAAACTGTTCTTTAAAAAAAAATACGGCCTATTAATAAAACATAACAGAGAATTGGGTGTGGAAAACCAGAGATGTGTGGCCACTGTGGCGCTCGGAGGCTGCACACCTGGCTTGGGGGTGTCACGGGGTTGCTGAGGGGCTTGGAGGCCCTGTGAGTTCCTGACCACGAAGTTCGGTCCTCCCTAGATTGGACGCCGGGCATGGCAGTGCCACGGGACATCGCGGCCGCCTACCTGCTGCAGGGAAGCTTCTACAGCCACTCCATCTATGCCACACTGTACATGGACACATGGCGCAAGGACTCCGTGGTCATGCTCATCCACCACGTGGTCACCCTGGTCCTCATTGTCTCCTCGTATGCCTTCCGGTGAGCACAGGAGTGGGTGGTGGATGGGGGGCACTGGCTCATGGCCAGGGCCACAGTGGAGGCCACGTAGGAGGGTCACATCATATCTGAGTACTTGGGACTGGGGCTCGAGGGAGGAAGCCTAAGGGCAGGCTGTGGGGCTGGAGAATCTGGAGAGAGATTCCAGAGGGATGGTGTGACACAGGCCCAGAGAGCCACCTCCCCTGGGGACGCTGCCTGGACACACCCTTGCCTGGGTAACACAGCAAGTGTTTATTAACACCTGCCATGCATGAGTGCTGGGGCAGAGCCATGAACACAACAGACACACCCTGACGTTCCAGATCCCACTGCAGCCACCACTCGGCTCACGTGGCCACTGGGCCTTTTGGTTGGAGCCCGTGCAAAGCTCAGCATGCTGGGTGTGTAAGATCCACCCTGATTTCAAAGGCTTCTCATGCAGACAAGAGTGAAAATATCTCACTGATCCTCTTGTCTCCATTACATATTAAAATGACAATATTTTACATATACTGAGTTAATTAGAATGCATTATTAAAATTAGTCTTAGATGTTTCTTTTTATTTGTTTATTTTTTTTAAATGTGACTGATAGAAACTCACATTCTAGGGGCCGGCCTGTGGCTCACTCAGTAGAGTGCGGTGCTGATAACACCAAGGCCACAGGCTCGGATCCCATATAGGGACGGCCGGTTCGCTCACTGGCTGAGCGTGGTGCTGACAACACCAAGTCGAGGGTTAAGATCCCCTTACCAGTCATCTTTTTTAAAAAAAAAAAAGAAACTCACATTCTATTCCTATGGGACCAGCCGCTGGTCACAGTGGCTATTTCAACTTTAATTAAATGTAAATAAAAGCACACATTCCATTCCTCAGCCACACTAGCCGTGATTCAAGTGTTCAGTGGCCACATGTAGCTGGTGGCTCTCATATTGGACAATACAGGTCTAGAAAATTCACATGGTTCTAGAAAGTTCTACGAGACAGCACTGCTCTAGAGGGTAGAATCAGATGATAAAATCAGAAAGAAAGAGAACGGGCCGGTTAGCTAAGTTGGTCGGAGCATAGTGTTGTAACCCCCAGGTCAAGGGTTGGATACCTATATTAGTCAGCCACCAAAAAAAAAAAAATCAGAAGAAAGAGAGAAAGAAAAGAAAAGAACTAACAACTTGTTTGAAGGTGATAAGAACTATGGCAAAAAAAATCAGTGCTGGCCGGTTAGCTCAGTTGGTTAGACCGTGGTGCTGATACCACGAAGGTCCAGGGTTCAATCCCTGTGCCAGCCAGCCACAAAAACAACAAAAAAAAAAAACAAAAGCAAGTTGAAGGATAACGCCTTTAGCGGGTATTAGGTTTACGTGGGGTGACCTGGGGTGACAGGTGAGGAAAGACTGAAGGTTTACGTGGAGTGGCCTGGGGTGACAGGTGAGGAAAGACTGAAAGGAGGTGAAAGGAGGCACCACGAATGCCGGGGAGGGGTGTGCAAAGGTCCTGTGGCAGGAGCCCATGAGCTGTCAGGAGGGCTGAGCAGGGACAGACACGTGATGAGATAGAGACGCTTGGCCATGTCAAGGCTGAATCCAGGCCCCTTGGCCCAAGTGACTGTTGGATGGAGATGCTGGCCTTTGGGCTTCTTAAGATACTAGTGTGGACATGGCAGAGGCCTTTCCTAGGAGACTCTGTGGCTTGCAGTGACGTTCAGGCTGCACACGTAAGGCTGGGACTGTCAGCATGGCAGTGATGTTAAAAGTGAGGAGCAAGCTTGTGGGGCATGTCAACACAGAAAGGCCCAAGCCTGTGAGAGTCAGGGGTCACAGAGATGAAGAGGGGTCAGAGAAGAGACTTCCAGAGAGGCTCTGGGCCACGGGGGGCAGTGAGGTGGGGAGGGCAAGGACCCGCTGGGGCTGCTGTGGGTCAGGTACAGCCCAGGGTAGGGGTCAATGAGGAAAAGGGGGTCCTGGGAAGTGGAGGTGGGCAGGGCAGGTGAGCCAGAGAGGGCAGCTTCGAAGGGGCCCACTGGGAGCCTGGGGGCTTGAGTGCAGACTGGGGTCCCCGGTGTGAGTCGCCCTCTCCTCCTCTCATCTCACCCCCAGGTACCACAATGTGGGCATCCTTGTGTTCTTCCTGCATGACATCAGTGACGTGCTGCTCGAGTTCACCAAGCTCAACATCTACTTCAGGTCCTGCAGTGGTTCCCACCACCGGCTGCATGCCCTGGTGGCAGACCTGGGCTGCCTCAGCTTCTGTTTCAGCTGGTGAGTGGACAGGGAGGGGCGGGGCCAGGCAGGGAAGGGGGTGGGGCTGCCAGAAAAGGAGGCAGGGCCTGGTGAGGTAGGTGGGGCCAGACAGAGAAGGAGGCGGGGCCTGGTGAGGTGGATCCTGGGAGGGAGAGGGTAGGACAGGGGTAGGGCCAAGCAGAGTGGGGGCATGGCTAGGCAGTGTAGGGGTGGGGCCAGGCAAGAAAGAAGGTGGGACCTGGTGAGGTAGGTGGGGCCTAAAAGAAGGGGTGGGGCCACACAGGAAGGGGAGGAGCCAGGCAGGGACGAGGGTAGGTCCTTGGAGAGGTGGGCAGGGGAGGGCCCAGGTGGGGAAGAGGTGGGGCTGGGTGGATGAGGACAGGGCAGTGGTGGAGACAGAGAGGGACAAGGGTGGGCAAGGATGGGTCAAGGGGACAGGGATGGGTGGGGATGCACAGGGACAGGTGGATGGGAGGGGACAGGCTTCCCTGACCTGCCCTTCCCGACACAGGTTCTGGTTCCGCCTCTACTGGTTCCCACTCAAGGTCCTGTATGCCACATGCCACTGCAGCCTGCTTTCCGTGCCTGACATTCCCTTCTACTTCTTCTTCAACGCCCTCCTGCTGCTGCTCACCCTCATGAACCTATACTGGTTCCTGGTGAGTGGGTCTGCCCTCTCTTGCTCAGCCAGCAGTCCCCTTCTTGTCCCTGTCCCCAGGTGGCAGTGCAGGCCCTTCTCGAGCAGGCCTGGTGAGGGGCACGTGAGGCAAAGGGAACAGCACGTGCAAAAGGCCCGTGACACAGTACAGAGCCGTCAGGAGGCCCCACGGCCGAGGAGGGGCTTCCGCCTCACCGAGCCTCCCCTCCCACAGTACATTGTGGCTTTGGCGGTCAAGGTGCTGACAGGCCAGATGCGCGAGCTGAAAGACCTACGGGAATACGACACAGCAGAGGCCCAGAGCCCCAAGCCCAGCAAAGCTGAGTGAGTGTGGAGGGGCACCGCCCCGTACCTTCCTTTAGGGACATCTCTCTGAGTGCACCCCGTGGGCGGGCCCCAAAACACGGCAGCAGATGAGGCCATGGTGGACCAGAGCCCACGTCTGCAACAGAGATGGTGATAAAGGGTGAACGATGTAGTCACAAAGTTAACTGAGGCGAAGGACAGAACAGCGAGGAGGGGGACGGAGGTCTGGGGAGGGGACTGGGCAGCCAGGGGTAGGAGGCAGGGATGGGAGAACGGTGAGGATCAGGGCCAGCGGCTGGCGTGGCCAGAGTGGGCAAGGATCATGCATGAGGAGTAGCTGTTGGCCAAAGCAGGTGGAGGTGGGGATCAGAGAGTGTCCAGGGTGGCAGAGATTGCCCACACTCTGCCCATGCTGAGTGGTGCTGGCCTCGGAGTTGGGTAGGGTAGCCCATTGGTCAGCCAAGCAGGAGATAGGGCTGGGGGCTTGGACCCAGCCCAGCCCAGGAGGGAGTCCTGGGGAAAGAAAGTCACAGGGGCCTCAGCAAGCCTCCTGGAGGTGGTTCCTGTGAGCCTCACCAGCCCTGGCGTGAGAGCCAGATGGTATCCAAAGCCCCAGTCGCAGGCAGGGGCACCCAGGAGTGAATGGAGGTGGGTTTGGGTGAGGAGTAGGGTCCAGGGCCTGATGTACCCTGGAAGTAACATGAGGAGTGTTTGAGCAAGAGTGAGGGCAGGAGGCTGCAGAAGGTTCCAGAAGGTAGTGACCAGCCAGGCCCTCTGTCTGGCCTGCTGGTTCATTACTCTGCTGGGTACCATAGATTCAGGGAAGCAGCAGACACAGAGCTGGGTGAGGTGGGTCGGCATGGGAGGGGAGGAGGGCAAGATGTGCAGAGATATACACATTCTCTGCAAAGAGCAGCAGAGAGCCGGGGGTGGTTAGAGCAGAGAGTGGGGTCGGAGGAGTGCTCTTAGGATCCATCCAAATAGACAGAAGCATTTTTGCACCTGCCAAGCATGCAACCTACAGACAAGGTGTCAGGGCTAGAAAATCAGCACCCAAGGGTGGAAAGGGATCCAGCCAGGTGCGTGAGGACAGGCCCACTGGCAGGGAGGGCTGAGCAGTGGAGAAGGTCGAAGCTGAGGTGCTGACTGACCACCTATAGCCTGTCACCATCCTCCGGGCATGGGGACAGGAAGAGGAGGCATGTGGTCACATCCCAGCTCATTTGGAAGGGAGAACCAACCAGACTTGCTTTGGATGTAGGTGAAACAGAAATTAAAGAATCAAAGATGACTCAAGACTTTTGGCTCAAGCTGCTGTTTACCAAGACAGGGCTTGGGCCCAGGCCATGTGTGCCAGCGGATGGAGGCAGTTGGGAGCCTTGTTTGGAGGTGTTTGACTGTAACTGTCTCTCGAATGTGACTTGGGAATTCTGCGGAGAGATCTATGAGGTCTCACTGAGGAGGCTTCCAGAGGCTTCCAGAGAGGCAGTGGCCAAAGAGAATGGGGGTCACCTGCTTGGCAAAATCTAAACATCTGAAAGATCCTCTAGCTGTAGGACAGCAGCTCTTGGTGGCGATGTCCTTGTAAGTGAAGAGCCCAAGGCCAGAGAGAGCCGGACCTCCCAGCTCTACCAGCTCCTGGCTCTATTTCCCCTGGGGATGTTTCTTCAGAATGTGGGGTGGGACCTGGCACCCCCGCCCCCCACGAGAGCATTTCCACTAGGACAGCAAAGCACAGAAGTGACCAGGGGACATACCAGGCAACACCCCGCCAAGATCCACCCCCTGGGCACCACCAACAAAAGTTGATCCTCCAAGGACAGCTGGAGTTAGTGCGTTAGACGTACGTAAAGCAGGGTGGGATACAAAGGAATAGACCGAGGGATGTCTCACAAAACAGCTGGTGAGGATGCCTCAAAACTGTCACCATCATGAGAATGGAAAGGCTGAGCACCGGTCCCAGATCAGAGGAGGCTAAGGAGACCCAACCAGACTAAATGCAGCATGCGATATGGGACCAGGAAAAGGACATCTGTGGAAAAACTGGGGAAATCCAAATAAGGTCTAGGGTTTAGCTCATACTATTGTAGCAATGTTGATGTCTTAGCTGTGACAGGTGTACCCTGGAAATGTAAGATGTAACTTTAGGGGAGCTGGGTGAGGGCCTATGGGTGCTCTCTGGACTATCTTTGCAACGTAACTGCAAATCTAAAATTACTCTAAAATAAAAAGTTTATTTAAAAAAAGGCATGGGTGGGGGACATGGTGTACAAACGCAATTTGTGGTAATGGGTGTGCTGCCAGTTTGAATCTGGCCTTCACATCTTGGGCACAAGGGGCGACAATCAGCTTTGTACCTCATGAATATTCATAACCAATAATTTTTAAAAAGGCATGAGATGAGCTTCAAGTCACTGACAAGTTAAAAAGAGGCTTGAGAGACCATTAAAATTGGCTTTGGATGTTATATTACTTTCCTGAGGATGTTGTATCAATGTATCATAACTGAGTAGCTTAAAGCAACAGAAACTTACTCTCATATTTTCAGAGGACAGAACTCTGAAACGCAGGTGTCACAGGGCTGCAGTCCCTTGGGAGGTTCTGGAGAGGATCCTTCCTCACCTCTTGCAGCTTCTGGGGGGCTTGTGCCCATGTCATTCCAGTCTCTGCCTCTGTTGTCACATGGCTTTCTTGCCTTCTCTTATAAGGACACTTGTCATTGGATTTATGGTCCACCCTAAATCCAGGATGACCTCATCCTGAAATTTTTCACTTAATGACATCTGCAAAGAATTTTTTTCAAATAAGGTCTCAGTCACAGGTTCTGGAGATCACCATTCAACCTACTGCCAGTGTTAAAGCTGGAACAATTAGATACAGCTGAAGAGAAAATCAGCACTTTGGAAGATGTGAAGAAATTACCCAGAAGGCAGCATAAATAGATGGAAAATATAAAAGCTAGAATTGTAAGAATGATCTAGTTTAGCTGAGTTCTTTATTTTTTTTTATTTTTTTGGTGGCTGGCCAGTAGGGGGATCTGAATCCCTGACCTCGGTGTTACAACACCATGTACTAACCAACCAGCTAACTGGCCAGCCCTGGTGTAGCTGAGTTCTAACAGGAGACAGATGAGGAGCAATATGAGAAGATGCAATGCTGAGAATTTTCCAGAAGTGACAAGACATAAGTCATAAGCAGAATAGGTGAAAAGGTATCCATGCCCCAAACACACCATAGTGAAAATGCAAAGCAGCCACAGGGGAAAAAAAGGACAAACCACCAAACAATGTGGACAAACAGCCACTGGGGAAGCTAGACGGCCGTGGAATGAAGTATCACCTCAAGTGCTGAAAGAAAGTATCAATTCAAAATTTGAACCAATTTAAAATTTCAAACTTTAAAAACAATTACTCAAGGGCCGACCCCGTGGCTCACTCGGGAGAGTGCGGCACTGGTAGCGCCAAGGCCGCGGGTTCAGATCCTATATAGGGATGGCCGGTGCGCTCACTGGCTGAGCGTGGTACAGAAGGCACCGTGCCAAGGGTTGCGATCCCCTTACCGGTCAAAAGAAAAAAAAACAATCACTCGAGAGAAAGAACACCCACGCAATCAAAACTAAAAAGGTTTCACCATCAGCAGATATTGTCTACGGGGTGTGTTTCAGAAAACAGGAAAACTACCCCAAAAGGTAGAGATCAGCAAAAAAATTGACATACTTATGAGTAAAAAAATTTTAAATGCCTAATTAGAGAGATTTTAAAAACAGAATTGAAGTGGGATTGGGCGCTTTGTATTTTTCAAGAGGGCGGGGATTAAGTATGGATGTTGGAAGTTTTAAGGTGTAGAGGGGAGAATGGAACAAAAATCAAATATAACAAAATAAAAGGCAAGAAAGGAAGAAGAGAAGGTCAGAAAAGGCAGGATAAATAATGCAAAATAACAGTGTAGCAAGAATCAAAATAAACATAGCGGGGCCAGCGGGTTAGCTCAGTTGGTCAGAGCGTGGTGTGACACCAGCCAAGGGTTTGGATCCCTGTCCTGGCCAGCCACCAAAACAAACAAACAAAAGCCTAAAATACATAGAATAGTCATGAGAATGATGAGACTGCTATTTTTTCCCCCTGTAAACCCCACCTCTATACTGGTTAAAAGACCTCAAGTCCAGCACACATGAAGTTTGCAAGTGAAAGGACAGGAGGGGCTGGCTGGTTAGCTGAGTTAGTTAGAGCCGGTGTTATAACACCATGGTCCAGGGTTCAGATCCCCTTACCAGCCAGCCACCAAATAAATAAAGTAAGTAATTCAGGAGTCACAACACTAATCATATGGCACTTCTGTGGCACCGATCCCTTTCTCACTCCCATCTTCCTGAGTGGCCTCGCCTTCTGGGTCCCTCATCAGCCACCCCCCATTCTCCTGATCCCCCTTCATGGGGCCCCTGTGATCTCAGTCGCTGGTGAACTGCTCTCCTGCACTGACACCTTCAACCTCCTGGGGTTGCCCCTGTGTCCTGATCATGACTCAGCACCTTGGTCCAAAGCCCCATTGCCTTCTTAGGGGCTGTGGGGACTGGCCTGCCAATTTCTCCCTCTGTTACACCTGCTGGTGTCTAAAGAACTGTGATCTACATGTCTGGCAGCAGCGCCAACCCTCTGGAGGTCCTCAAGCTCCAACTGTTCCCATCATCATCTCTTCCACCAATGACCTGGCCTCCATGTCCCCAAGAGAGAAGTGGCTGGTTAAGGACATCCACCAGCGTTTTTGCTGGCCATTTGCTACGGTGGACATTTCCATTCCCTCCGAGGCCACCATCCCAGGCCAGGGATGTCCACCCCCTCAACTGCTGGAGGACTTCACCACCAAGGCTTCCACCTTTGCTTGGATTCTTTCCACCACCATGGTGGCCTGAAGCTGTGGGCGTAAATCTGATAATGTAGAGGAGCCGTCTCACTGGAGGAAAACAGACTACTGTTTTTGAACAGGGAGGAGGCACTTTGAAGCTTGTGTGGAAAAACAAGAATCCTCTGGACAGTACTGGACATGAGGCATGGGATGGGGATGTCAATCCGTGAAGACTTACTATAAAAGCACAGAATCAGAAGAGTGTAGGAACAGAGTCCAGAAACAGACCAGAGTCCATGAAATCATCAGCAAATACCAAAGACTACCCAGAGGGAAGGCAGGTTGTGAGAATGGCAGTGGGACACTTAGGGACCTTGCAGAGAAGAGATTTAAGGTGTGTCTCCTTCTCACTTCAGCCCCAGGGCCAAAGATGTCAGTGCAGAAATGGAATCTGGAAAGTTATCCTACAGCAGAAATGGGAGATTGTGTCACCGAGGAATTGGGAGGCCTGTTTAACTCTGGGAAGAATCGAGAAGCCACAGGGGTGGATCCTTTGGCCACACCCTCAGCCTAAAGGATCATGGGCAAAGCCAGAAGACAAGGGACAGATGGGAGGCCCAGCAGGGCTGATCTTCCCACAGATAAAGACCGACAACCCATAGGACAGCATGCTTCCCAGGGAAGAGTGAAAGAAAGTGACTGAGACCGTCTTCCCCAGGGAAGTCCTTACATTCTTACGAGGAAGGGTCTCTGAGAGGGAGTCCTCCACAAAGCCAGGGGGAAAAAGAGACAATAATACGCCTGTGAGCTTGTCCCCGAGAGAGGCCACCCCCCAGCAAGACTGAGGCTGACCCACAGGATCTGCTCCAGGAACTGTGAGCTTTCTACACTTACTGACGTCTAGACCGAGACTAGAGGACCCGTTCAAAAACCTCAGTACACTTGTGTGTAAACTCTACTGCAGAAAGCGCTTCTGCACAGAGACCCATAGAACAGGTGCCAAGGCGTAAGCAGTGTCCACACCTGGGAACAAGAGTGTCCGGTGGCCAAGAGAATGGTGAGATACTGTCTCGGTGAAACAGGGTGAGACTCCAAGAGTTGGCAAAGGCAACGAGGTGCAGGGGCAGACCCGCCATTGTGTCCCGCAAGGTGGTGCAATCCCTTCCCAGTTGGATCCACAGAGTCCTGCCACCAACTCTTGCAGGGAAAATGGAATTTCCTGAGAGCAGCAGTGTGAACAGGGAGGGGTCTCGAATGGTATTTTTGCATTTTTGGAAAATATGAGTTGCAAGTTACAGTTTGAAATATTCACACCGTGCACATTGATTATAGGCTAGGGGTCTTTCTCTGGGATTGCAAACTGTACACTCATTGCATTGATTAGAGGTTTAAGACATCGCATAACTCGTTTTAAGAACGTGGAAGCAAAGTAGGGGGCCGCAGATGTAGGCAGAGAGTAGCAGATGAACAGACGGAAACGGGTGGGGACGGTTTGGATATGAGCAGGCCATGGCCACCAGAGTGCGGGATGAGCTTGCCGGCAGGCGCAGGGGGCTCTAGCAGTTCTATCTCCCTGGGAGGGGAGCCTGATCCAGTGAGGATCTAGCAGCCGAGGTGGTGGAGTAGGGTAGGACAGGGTTTAATTGGGGAGAGGGCAACTAGGCGAGGTGCCAGCGTGCAGGGACCATGTGCCCAGAGGGTGGACGGCAGAGTCTTACGGCCTTGTGGGTAGGGAGGGTGAAACAGCTGGGTTGTGAGAGAGTGGAGGCGCAGGGGTCTGCTGGGGACCCGGGTGCCCGGGCTAACCCACGCCCGGTTTTGGCCCCCAGGAAGTCGCTGAGGAACGGCCTGGTGAAGGGCAAGCGCTTCTGACCCCCTTGGCCCCCGCCCTGCCACCCGTGAATCGTCCAGCCCAACCACGCCCCCGGGAACTCGCTCCAACCCCAGGACCTGGCCACTCCATACCACCTGGGATCCTGGTCCCATCCAACTCCGCCCCTCCGGCCCCGGCCACCTCCCAGGGGACTCCGCCCCGCCCCCTCGGACCCGTCCCCGTCCAGCCTCAGGACCGCGGCCACGCCCCCCAAGACCCCGGCCCCTCCAGAGACCCTGGACCCGCCTCCAGACCACAGGTCGGGGGCTACAGCGGACCCTACGCACTCTCCGGCCATCGCCTGGGGGGAAGATGCCACCGCCGCGTCGCCGTCCCAGTCACCACGTCCTCCGCCTCCTCCTCCCGGCCCTGCTGCTACCTTGGTCACCCCCAGCCGGAGCCCTCGCGCCCCCCCCGCGCCCCGCCTCCGCTCTGCTCCAGGCTCTCGGGCTGCACGAAGAGACCCGGGACGCCCCCACACTCCGGCCCGTGCCCCCGGTTATGTGGCGCCTATTCCGCCGCCGGGACCCCCAGGAGGCCAGGGCAGGCCCCCGACGGACGCCCCCAGGGGCCGCCCTGCGACCGTGCCACGTGGAGGAGCTGGGGGTCGCCGGAAACATCGTGCGCCACATCGCGGACCGCGGTGAGTGGGGCCTGCGCTGGGGGCATTGGTCCTGGAGACCTCGCGGAGGATGGGGGGTGTCCTTGAGCGTGGCTGGGGGAGGCCAGAGCAGCCCCGAGGGTCCCCATCGCCCAGTCCCGCCCGTTAGCAGCCCGGGCCAGCGCACCGCACCCCTCCTCCTCCGCACGCTGGGGACATCCGCGGGGTGGGGGGTTCCTGAGGCTAAGCCCCCTTGCACCAGGCGGGGCCCTTGCCTGCGGCTGTAGCCCTGCCCCCACACCACGCTGCTGCACACCGTGGGATGCCTTCCTGCACACCCCGCCCCCGCATCGCTGCCGCAGGGGCCACAAGCCCTGCTCATCACCCCCCGCCTGTGTCCCCAATCGAGGGCAGCCCCCTGCACCCGGCAGCCGCTTCCTTGCAACGGATGCCCTGCCCCCACCCCGCCGCTTCACAGCACTTGACGCCTTCCAACAGATGGCGGCCCCCGGCC